TGAAGAAGACCAAGTTCCTCAGTTCCGAGGAGGGCACGGAGTCAATCGTCGACTATCTCGGGAAGTCATCGAAAAGGTCCAGGACTTTCGATACCTAGGGAGTGATCTAGCCGCTGATGGTAGCGTGTACCCAGCGACGGCGCGGGATGAACGCTACGGAGAAGAATAAGAAAGGTTCATCGGCTGTCACATTGACTGCATGAAGTAGAAGTTCTGAATGACGCAAGAAAATTGTTACCTTTCACCTCGAGGGCTTTCACCTCACGGGATATGCCGTCTTTGTCGAGGAACCCCTTTCTCGAGGTAAATATTTGATGCGGCGGGATACGATACCACGGCTGGACTTGAATCCGTGAATCTATGGCTTGCTTTGAAGTTGTCCACTTTGGAACCCTCTCTGTTGGTCTTCAGTGCCATCGCTGTCGTGCAAAGAAATCCCCATACTCATCTTTGCCATAACCTCCTCTTTCAACTTCTTGGCTAATCTCGAAAGTCTGATAGATCGATTCGATCCTCTCGCTTTGCACCTAACAATTACAGCCATATATGTGGTCGAGAATGGTCAAAAATAACTAATGGAAAAGCTCGCGATCTCTCTCAAGTTCCCTCAACTTCCGCAAGCGGTATTCTGTCGTGATGAAGCGAGACCTGCTTTTCATGCATGAGAGTGAGCGGTTTTCTTTTGCACTCAACCGATAAATGCTATGGCCTCTTCTACCTGCATTATTAAATTAAAGATCATGGGCAGAAATATTGAATTGAGGAGTATCTTTTCCTTTGAAACCTCCATATCTCCAAGAAAGTACGAAGATCCCTCGCTGAATGGGCGGGTCGTTCGTCTATCATCTGCTGACCAGAGGGGTCACTGTGGTCGTCTTCTACGCAATCGTCCTCTTCGCAGTCAATAACGTCGTATAGGGCATCCCCTTATATAGACGAAAAGCTCTCTTTTGCCTTTCGTTCCTTCCTAGATGATGCTCGCACTTTGTCAGAGCTACCGAATTCCTCTAACAAATGCAATAACACAACTTTGAACATCTCGTCGGTAATATGTGGAAAAGGGCTTTGGGCAATAGGCCATATGACAACTTTCTGTCGAAATCATCACGGATTACCCAAGATTTCGCAAGTCCATTTTGAGAAATGTTTTCGCA